CACAGAAGCGGAAGAACCGCTAGGATGTACGATGCGCGAAGAAAAGCAATCTAAGTATCTAACAAAACGTTTATAACCTTGTCAACTTCACACTCTGAGTCCCAACATTTTATTTTCCTCCCATTGATATTACATATGTTTTTCATCAGGCTCTGAGAAAAAAGCATTTATTCGAAGTTTTTTTCCGAGTTAAGTGGGAAAGCTGCGAACTTTATACGCTGTAGCAAGCTTGTGTATTCTTTTTTGCATTCATCAAAATCATTATTGATATCATAAAAGACCATGTTGAAGACCAAGTTTATTTTTTTCATTCAAACTAAGCTAACTATCAACTATATCAGTAGTGAACATGATATATTATTTTGGCAGTGGGCAAAGAGGAGCATTTCTGACACACTCTCACGATCTTAATATCGCAAAACTCATATTGACGGCATTACACTTATAATCGTGCAGTACACACTAGGTTTGCCAATGAAAACCAGCCTCCTGCATGTGATTAAATTAAAAATTTTAAAAGAAAAGCAATGCATGAGTATTCAGATGCTTCAAATTTAGCTTGTATTGAGGATTGCATGGCTGACTAAACACTCAATTCTAGTTAAATAGCAGGTGAGTCAGCACTGAAAACATATACAATTTTTTTTGCATACTTCGGCGACAGACGAAGCCGATAAAATAAAGTCTTTGTATGGCTTTTGTTAGCACGGTACCAGTAAAAGATGTGTGTTTACCACCCGGATGGATTGAGCGTTTTCTGAATTTCACGAAAGGCAGGACTTAATATTGAAGCAAGGATTCTCATGCTGTCGTCTAAGAAACCCTCAAAGGAAAGAAAACGATAAATTTCTGATCCGTTTTTGGCTCTCCATCCTATCCTAGCTTGCCAGAGATTGGTACAATTCACAAAAAATCGATCTGAGTTCGTCAAAAGAGGTCTTACGCGGATGAAAATTGCAGTCTCAGCCGGACGAATTAATTTGCTTATTGGCAAAAAATGGATTCCAGCCCTCGCGATTTTTTTTCAACAAAATAACATGCCAACGCGCGATTTTATTTTCAATTGTTTAAAATTGGTCCATTTTTGAAAAGCTGACAAATGGGGAAATGTACTCTGGTACCCTTTTATTGGCATATTATTTGCTATTTTTAAAATTTAATTTTGCAAATACTTCTTGCATGCCTTAGCTGGAACACTGTTAGGACTCAAAACAATTCTCTTTTCCTTAAAGATGAGTTACTTCATCAAGAGATACCTTCAAACACATAGCGATGCTATATGCACTTGTTGTATATACGACATTTGTGAGATCAAGAAAGTTCCCGGCGCAATCACATTGTTTTCCTTAAGTCAACAGGCTCCGCCCAAACCTTAGACAAAAATATTGTTGTTATTTGCTCGTTTGCCATTTTCTCGCATGAAGTAGAGGTACCGATTTGCATACGAAGAAATGGTAACTACCTATTGTTTGCTGCTCCTTTCTCCTTCCAAGCTTTACGAAAGAGTCTAAAACAATTTAGCTCATTGTTTGATCATTAATAACACTATCTCAAAATCTTTTTAGGTTTTTTAATGCAATTTGAAGTGCTCTGGCATCTCTTTGCGGTACGGAATTATTCTACACAGTTTGGCTATAGCGATAACAAATAGTAATATGAGAATTGATCCAAAGATAGTTCGCAAAACGCTTATTTTTTAATACGAACATTCAGCACGCTGAACTACAGTACTATCGCGTGTGTTGTATTGCGGCGCAAACACATTGGCCCGTAGTAAACTTCCCGTCAGGTAAGATGATCTGACCTGACGGGGCTAGTCTAAGTCCACCGAGTTCGTATGATCCCGATCCCTCCGCCATAGTATAAGGATACAAAGTCCGCGGACGGATCACGGTCATGCGAGGTTCTGCGATGAGATGAACTGAGCCCCTAAGGAGAGAGTTCACCTGACGGGTCATACGAAGGAAATAGTGTGTGTTATAAGAGTCCGTCAGGGGAACTCGTAAGTTGCTCGGAACCAACTTACGAGCTCCCCTGACGATATGTA